GGATACACCATGCTCGGCCCTCGCAACCTCAGCTCCTCTGGACTGTACCCAAACCCCGCCGGCCACACTGGTCCCCACTCACTGCAAACATAGTGGGGAACAGTCGGCCAGGCACAGTCGGCCAGGATGCCAACGCCGCCGGGTGCCGGCTGCTGCCATTTTACAGGCTTGCTGCACAGAGGTTATAAGGCCAGAGGGAAACATTGAGAATATCTCGCTTGGCTTTCTCGTTAGCACAGACTGACTGTCTTGTATTTCATATTCTCTCAATATTCTTATTCATATTAATAAATTGGATGCCTTACTGTAGAGGGACAGGACGTTTTAGTCTGCAAGATGCTTATCTGGCCTGGGCAGGTAACACTGGAGAACGTTTTCCGAGTGCTGGTCAAAAAAACCCTTGCGGCTTTTCTCCAATTCCCAGTGAATCGCTTTCCTTCGTTAAAAACCAGCACTTCAGCCGGTCCTGAAGTGTGCCTTTTACTGGTGATGGAGCAGGAGTGTCCAAGGACAGAGCTGACTACAGTCAGTCCCTACAGACAGAAATCCTCTCTCACCCCAAAAAGCAAAGGGGAACACTCGCTCCGCTGCTGCCCCCAGCGTCCAGTACCGTATGCAAAATGTCCAACCAGCCCTAAAATCGCCCTCTATTTTGCCTGGTCTCTACCTTCCCTTTCATCTCCCCTCCCCGCCTTGCAGAGCGCACCATACTCCCACAGGCTGGAAGGATCATTGTTTGAACAGACCGCGTTCCTCCGTGTAACATACATCAGATCTTCTTTACGGGAAGAAATGAGAGAAGGACACATAATGAGAAACACCATGTTTTTGTAATTACATCTGTGAGCTAAACAAAAGCCAACGATTGTAAACCTACATGACTCCCTGCAACTCGGCTGTGAAAATGCCTACTAAGGGTGACTATCACTTTTGCTTGCCTTTGGAAAGCTCCTTACTGCGCGCTTGTGCCAAAGGGAGATATTACTTGCAGGCAGAGCGTCAGATTTGGGCTCTGATGTCTTAACCTTCAAAAATATTTACTACAAACAAAACACTCCGCACACACGAGGGGTCAAACTACAGTAGTTGTGAACAATGCAACTCTGCACCCTTGTGTTTGGATTCTCATCATTTTGCATTTAATGTTGATCTTTTGCCCAGAATTTAAATGAAGATGGAGTTTCTGTTTATATCTTTAACCGAAGTCTGGTTTGGGCTCCATTAGCATTTCAGCTCCCAAGGGGTCATCAATCCAACTGAAACGATACATGTGCGTTTCAGGTCACATCTGTGAAGGAGAACGTGCCCTACCCAGATCAAGGCATCCCATTAAAGTCTGCAGCCCATATGTGTGTCTGCTAACGAGCATCAAGGCAGCACATGAAAGCAGCACAGTTTGAGCCAACTCGGTATGAAAATTAGCAGAGTATTGTCTCTGCTCGCAGTTCCAAAGGCAACGGTGGCCTTCCCCGACGTCTGGGCGCAGGCTCCCAAGGGGTCAGCTCTCCCACCGCGACGGCAGAACTCCTGCACGTCCTACCTATTATAATTTCCAGGCACTTTGTTCAGCCACCAATCTGGCTGCACATTCTCAATTGCTAACAGCTACAACCAATAACATGGTCCTGCTTACTCACTGTCTTGCTCAGAAGAAACGCGAGAACGTGTGAGCCAAAACTAACAGGTTTCAAAGACCGCGACGCTGTCTGCTTTGCTGCTTCTCAGAGGTGTCCCGATTCAGTATTAGCTTTGAGCAGAAATCCTTTCAGCCTGGACTATGGGGTGCTCTGTGCCAGAACGCTGCCACAGCTTCACCCCCCTCGCTGCGTACCTGAGCTTCAGGC